CTCCCGCCCCCGCCGACCCAGCACAGCGCGGAGCAGGCACCCCCACGCGGCACCCGCCGGATGAGCTTGCCGGGGCGCGCTTACCCGAGCCCCCGGTTCCCGCCCGCTGGCCCCCGCGTGGGCGCCGCGGGCCAGCACAGCCGCCCGGGCTCGGCCATGGTCTCCCCGGCCCAGCCAGCACAGCCCGGCCCCCGCGGTGCGTGTTCCGGCCGCCCGCGTCGCTAGGAGACCGCGGAGCCGTGCGCCCGCCCGGCTCGCCTCGGTTCGCCCCGGCGCCCCCTTGCGCCCCGGCGCCCCCTTGCGCCCCCTTGCGCCCCGGCGCCCCCTTGCGCCCCGGCGTTCCCCGGCCTCGCGCCGGCCGGACGCCTGCTCCGCTCAGCCCGGTTTCTAGAAGGGGCTGTCGAAGGAGAGAAAGACGCGGCCGGACGGACGGATGGACGGACGGATGGACGGACGGGTGGACGGATGGGTGGACGGACGGACGGACGGACGGACGGACGGATGGACGGCCACGGAAGAGTGGAAAGGGAGGGGAAAGGCACACCGACTGCTGGCGGTCGGGCAGGACTTGGGAATCCCTGGGCCTCGCCCTGCGAACTGACTGATTTCCAGAGCCTTCCCCATCCGAGTCACTGGACCCTTGTGCCCGGACCCGCTTCCAGCGTGACGTCCTCACCCGCGGTCCGGGCGGGCCTAAGTGTGGGCGGCCTGAGGCTGTGCTGGTTTGCTAAGGTCGCCTGCCGCGCGAGGGCTCCCGACTGAAGCACGGGGCGCCGCTTCCAGAGGGAAAGAGCCGCAAGCGCTCTCCTGCCCAGATGCTGACTATTAATCGCTCCTTACAGCGGGACGATTTCCTCGTCAGTTCGAGTCTAGAGTCTTCTCATCCTCGAACTCTGCGCGAGGAAAGAGCGCCGCCTCTGGAAACCGGTTACCGTGTGGACGCCGTGGAAGTGGCGCTCACGGGGGCTGGTGTCACGGGACAGAACCAGCTCCTAGCGCGGGTTTGGCGGCCCGAAGCTGGAAAGGCAACGATCGAGCCAGACGCGGTGGGAGGAAAGCAAGGGTTGCTTCGGGCATGAAGCCAGCAGCTCGGGAGCACAGTGGACTAATGTCGCAAAGACCGTCTTCCCCTTCCAGGTGGAGCCGGAGGAGTTTTGAAGCGGGGGTGGGGGGTGGGGTGCTGCTGAGCCCGGGCCCTTAGTCATCTGCCTTCATGACCCTGAACTTGCGGGCATCCGTGGCCGCTGTTTCCGAATGTAGCCGGGCCTTATCTTCTGGGAGAGTTTGGTCCTTCGCTCCTCAAGCCCGTGGTCTGCGAATCTCAGGGCAAGTCCGTTAGCTCTGCAGCAGCTCACGGGACTCAGGTCTGCAAGCGAGGAGCGCACAAGCTGGAAGCAAGCTGCCCTTCACGCTGCCCGGAGTCCGTGGACACTCGTTCCAGCATCTTCATTTGCTTTATGTATTCAGCCGCCTTTTCTGTGCGGGGTAGAGCCCTGGGGTCCCACCACCTGAGATAAATCCCCCCTCAGCTACTTAATAATTATGCACCCCTGGGAGCGATTACTCAAACTTTTTTTTAGCTCCATTGATTTTCTAGTCTGAAATCGGGGAAATAATAGCATCTCCTTGTAAGGGTGAGGAGCAGATCAGAGAGATGATGAATGTAAAGCACTTGCCAGTGCAGGCTGTCCCGAATCCCCACACAACTGCTGAGCAGTATTATATCGGTTGTAGGGGGTGGGTAGTAGAGTCCATCAGCGGAGGGGCGCCTGGGGGGCTCAGTGGGTTAAAGCCTCTGCCTTCTGCTCAGGTCATGGTCCCAGGGTCCTGGGATCAAGCCCCCCATCGGGCTCTCTGCTCAGCGGGAAGCCTGCTTCTCCCTCTCCCACTCCCCCTGCTGTGTTCCCTCTCTCGCTGTGTCTCTCTTTGTCAAATAAATAAATAAATAAAAATTTTTTAAAAAGAGTCCGTTAATGGAGAAAGTGACAAACGTAGTCATTATGAGGAGCCTGATTCATTGTTTTCAGGATCCCTGGTAGTATCTTTCAAGTTCATTTGCTTGTGGATTCAAACTTCTATTACTTTGAGGAAGTAGGGTTTTTTCATAAGAGTGAGGGTAAGGGTTTTATCTGTTGCTCCTAGTACTGGGCCTGCTGTGCAGCAGGTACTCATTCAACAAAGAGTGGCTGTTATGGTCATTCCAGGCGCTAGGGATGCAATGAGGAATGAAACAGACTTGGTCCTTGTCAGCTCAAGTCTTGGTTTTTAGTGTTTGTTGCATGAATTAATAAGAAACCGCCTGTTTCAAGACTTTTGCGTCTTCACAGGCTGATTATTTGCTCCAAGCAGTAACTTTGACTCCATATCTAGTAGGAGACAACTTCTTTTTATTTCATCACATTCTAAACCTAAATTACAGTCATTACTCAGGGACTCTCTCATTCATTCTCTCTCTGTCTCTGTCTCTTTTGCAACACAAGGGTAAAATGTGTTACATACATGAGTAGATGTTATTTCAGAGCGAGGATAATGAGGTTCTGCGCAGTCTTTTCTGGCTTTACTGCCAGGTAGTGTAACCATTTTATTTCCCAATAGGATTTCTCAAACACCCACGACAGGGTTGCCAAACACCATTACTGCATCTTTCCCACTCAAGGACTAATTGCTGTCTCTGTAGCATTCTACTACATACGCAGCAATAGTTAGTTCATGGTACTATCCAGGGGGGAAAAAAAAACAAACGTTTGAACGACAGAACTTTAAGCTGAGAAATTATAAAGTGGGTCATAGACTAGTGGAAACCCTTGGTATCTTTACAAAATATTACCAGTCATCTTTGAAGGACTACAAAGACCACTGTACCCCAGCCCGTTCTTACAGCATTCCTACAGATAAATTTACAGTGGACATGAGCTCACAAAATAAAATCCACGAGGAGACAAGGCACAATAACCAAAAGACAGCAGAAACAACAAAGAACAGAATCCGATCTGAGACTTTATGTACTGGGATGTTCAGACACAGAATATACGTAAATAAGATTAATTGTGTATAAATATATCTTTATGTACATAAAATAAGCATGTTTCATGTGTTTTGGGAATAATAGAGGGATTTGGAAATATGAGCAAAGTACAAGAAACTTTTTAAAAGATAAATTTGAAGAGGAACCAAATAGAACTTATGGAAATGAAGACTATAGTCATTTCAACTGGCCTCGGAAGGTGAGAGTCCAATGGACGGACGGGTCCCTGAGACCCAGCAGGCTGGTAGGTTTGAGAAGATGCCTCCAGCTGTAAGTAATTCCTGCAGTTTGGATGTGGCAGGGGCTTTCCTGCTACTCACCTCCTGGTTAGCTCATATCCTCTGTTTGGTTCTCTTCCATCACCCCTGGAACATGTTCTTGCATATAAATCCCTCACTTTAAATTTACTTACTGTGGCTGCTGCTTTCCCGGTTGGGCCCTGGTACATACGTTATTTATGACCCAGCACTTCCCTTGCAGGGTATAGGAATCCCGAGGAATTTTCTCCCATACAGGAAGATACGTATGAGGATATTTGTCACAGCATTGTCAGTAGTATTGGTGGGTTGAGGGCGGTGCGTGTGTCCATTTCTGTGATGCAGATGGAAAAAATGGACGAATAACCAGGAATCCATTAGACACAACAGTCTGACGTATACTCAGCAACATGGTTAGGCTTTTGGAAACGTGGTGCTGGGTGAAGAAACAGTGAGATTTTTTACTGCAATGTGATTTATATAAATTAAAAATGCATGCACACCGAACAAAAATATATGTTTTACAAGAACTCCTACAGAGAGAAGGATACAATTCAAGCACTTAGGAATGGTTGCTTATGGAGAAGGCAGAAGGACAGAAGTGGAGAATGGAGAAGGAAAGGGATGTATGAATGAATGAGAGAGGACCTTGCACACCCAACTGAGAAAGGAGCCTCATGAATTAAACAGTAAGATTAACCAAGATGTTACACCTGCAGTTGGAAAAAAAAAAAAAAATGTTGCCAGAGAAATAGTTACAAGGTGGCACTGAGACACAGTTTCAAAGAATACATTGTGGATTGTGAAAGGTTGAAACAATACCTGCTCCAAAGTCAAGTTAGCTTGCAATAAAGGGCAACCACATGGGACAGAGGGTGAAGCAAGGAGCCAGGGCTGGTGACGAGTCCTGGATGACACAGGGATGTTGTCTGAATTCCATGGCAATGTTATGTGAGGAAGAGGATTCGAGGTCTTCTGATTTTCTTGTCATTTGCACTCAGATCTGAGCAAAGATTATGGGAGTCTCGTGACTGAATAGAAATGTACCAAAAAATCCTGCTTCATAGCTTTTTAGGGTCAAATACAGCCTCTAAGGCTGGGCTGCTCTCTCAAGTGGGGCTCAGATCATGATCACTCTACGCACTAAAAAACTGGAAACAAGGAGCGTTTGGAGTGTGTTGGAGGGACTTGAATTCTCATCCAGTGTAGTTCAATTAAAATATGACAATAATAGAAAAGAAATATTTAACCATGATATTAGGTTTTACTTCCCCTTGCTTGTATTTTTAGAATTGGTTTATCTTTCTGAGTTCAAAAGCATTCAAGTTCTGGAAGATTCTTTGCATAAAAGGTTGTAGGAGTACTTGAAAAAATGACCATATCCAGAGCCCCCTATATCATCAACATCAGTTGAAAACCACATTATATCTGTTTTTCATTAAGCTTCGAGTGAGCTTTGCTCTTCTCTTTACAAATAGAGACTTTAAAGTGTGTTTTGCTCATTAATTCTGAGGCTGCTCCAAACATAATTAACTCCCTCTCAGCAATTAACATATTTGATGGTGTTTATTTGGGCTTTTCCCCATTTGTACAGAATGATGCCAAAAAAATATTTGTTAGGTTGAACTGAATTTTGTTTTCACAGTTTGTGAAGCCAAAGAAGCAATTCACATAAAACAGTAATCCATTATCGACTCATTAGACTTATTAAGCTAATGTCTAATGACACGAGGAAATTGAGACAATCACTCAAACTCATGTAACCAATTAGTGGGGGAATCCCATCATAACCCAGAGCTCCACATGAGTCACCCAGAAAAAAGTTGACTCATAAACCAAGCTAAAGAGTCAATATAATACAGTGGCTAACCTGGGT